AGGTCTCATTTTATTTGCTTGCCGCTTCTCCAAAACTGCAGGAGTTATAAGCAGATTGATGAACTCTCAAAAGGCTACCATGCTCAGAGACAAGCAGCTACTGTTGGGCGTCTACCGGCAGCCGAAGGCAGGGTGAGGATTTTTGCTGAAACGGTAAAGCAAGGCAGAGGACATGGTGAGTAATTGAAAACATCCCAGACAGGATGTGGATGCAAGGGAGATAGATTACACTTTGTTGAAAGGGATGTGAGGGGAAACTAATGAGTCAGTATTTCAGTAATTGTCCATGGCTAAGAATAAGCATTGAGACAGTGGGCCCGTCTTTAGACAACATTGAGATTCCATGTCACCAAACCCTAATTATAAGGTGACCAGTATGTCTATGAAATGAGACAGTGATGTGCAAACTTTAATGAGCAGCGCCACTGTAAACAGTCTTTCATGCTATTCTGAGGTACCTGCAAATAACAACAAAGACAGTGAAGGCAAATGTTTCTCTTTTTTTTTTTTTTTTGCACTGGTGTCATCTATTGTCTTTACCTTAACTTAAGCGTGGTGTCAAACTGATAATTGGGAGTGTTATTAAGTTCGCTCATGCCAAATCAACACTGACAACGGTGTCACTGAAAAGATCAAATTTTACATTTAGACAAAAGAATTAGTTGAACTCAGCTGCCTGGTTGCACCAAATGAGGGATTGATATGCAGACTTTCCTGCATCTTTAAGCATCTTTATCAAGTAGCAAGTGACAGGATAAAGGGTGTGAATAATGTTTGATCTGTGGCACCAGTAATGACAAGCACTGGGTTACTCACACTGATGAATCAACACATGAATATTACATTCTTATTAGTCCCATATTCAGCAGAGCAATCAGCCAAGCTTTCAGTGAAACGGGAGTGGCAACAGCGCAAGTTAGCAGCTAAAGAGCTTCTTTTTTTTTTTTCCCTCTGGTGTTCTAGACCAAAGCAAAGCAAAAGAAAAAGATCTCATCAACATCACTCAAGTGAAATTCTGATGAGGTAAAAGAAACAAGTTTCTCTGCTGACAATATATCAGTATTTGCCACTTTTAAAGCGAATGTTGTTGCACCTACAACTAGATGCATTAGCAAGTAAAGGAGCTTTAAGCTATTGCGTGTTCATCTCGTAACCTCACCAAACGGCAAAGAATAGCATACGTCTTCGGTGATGAAAATAATTTTTAAAAGATGTTAAATTTAGCACTTTCATAAGTGAGACAATGATATTAATGTAACAGCTAAAACCAAACATCCCCTTGTTGTTTTTGCGCAAGCTAACATTAGCATGTGCGTAGAGTTAGCCGCTACAGGACATAAGTATCATTTTCACACTCGCACTAAATTACTCGTTTGTTGATTGTTGACAAACGGTGTGTATTTTTGTCGCTTTTTTCATGAAGCCATTTAGTTAATGTGTTGTGAAATTTTCAGTGTAAGTGGCAGAGGTAAATTTAATGCAATTGGAGTAAGCCAGCGCCATAATCAAATGCTGAGTAAGCGAAGTGCTGTAAATATTGTCCAAATTGTGAATATAGGGCCCGAGTTGTCCTTAGCCACTGGCATACTGACAGGAGGCGTTTTGTGTTGATAGCATGTAGTGTGAAAGATGTCACTGCTGAATGTAGCACAAAACTACAATCCCCAGCAATTTCTTACTGTGTCAGTCCTGAAATAAGACAAGTCTACAATTTTAGCTTACTACAGCTTTGTAAAAGTATAAATTACAGTCTAATACAAAACCCAGGCATATCAAACTGCTCATGTGAAACCTAGATGTCACACATTTATTGACAATTGTGAAGTTAGGAGATGATTATTATAGTGGAAATACAAAAAAAGTCTCTAAGATAGAATGGTGAAAAAAAAAAAAAAAAGACTCTGGGCTTTGTGGCTCAGAGAGGAGGTAAAATGATTGCAAAGTAAAAGGTAGCAAAATGAGAATTGAGGAACAAATTTATCTGATAGCAACGGAAATCGGAGGGGGGAAAAAAAAAGAGGCCATTTTCTTTATAGAGAAGTAAAATTGTAAATAAACAGATCTTCCAATTCAGTGGGAAGGGGTTGGTTACTCTATTTTAAAGGCTGACTAATTGATAATTGATTTCATTTTGATAATCCACAATACACAGATCCCCATTTTTGCTGCACCATGTGACAGGTTTCTAGTAGATAAGAAATACTAGGAAATTTAAACTAGTGTCATCTCACCGCAGTGCTGTGAAAAAGCACTTGCCCCTTAATCAGTACAAAGACAACAAAGGAAGTGCAACCTGCAGTTTTCAAATTGTGACAATTTATTAAGGGAGGTAAAAGCAATCCAAATAATCTTGGGTGCAGCGTGAAAATGCTTTACCACTGTAACCCTAACCGATACTGTAAAACAACAGTGGCATGACAGTTTTGAAAACAGAGAGTGCCTCCTTCCAGTGACGTTTTTCCCCCCCAATGGCCATCATAAGAAACCATGTTGAGGGAAAATAAAGAAGAAGCCATGGAGTTCACTGGCCAAATCAACTGATTTTTATGGTACCAGAGAGATAAATGAAGGGCTGTGTGTGCACAATGTAGATACTGATGAATTGCACAGCCAAGTGGATTTTCGCAACACCTGACAAGATCGCGTCTCAAGATTCACCACATTCAATCCTCTCCAGGAGAAGGAAATTGGCGAGGCTGCAGGCAGGAAAAAAAAAAAAATCCAATGGTCAAAATGAAGAGATAAATCAGACAGCGAAACAGCTCTAATAATGGGAGCTGGTTAAACATCAATGGCTTAGAGCAGTGCCCATTAAACTTCTGATATCCCTACATGACAGATGAATCTACGTGAAATACAGCCACTGTCTTGCTGCTATAACACTGTTGGAACAATCCGTCAAGAGTTGGTCTCAGACAAATAACCACTTTGAGAAGTCCATGCCCCCCGGTAAAGTCCTCAAGAATTTTTCATTCCCCATCTTCCAAACTACGCGTATTGTGTTGCTTGGTCAAGAAGAGTGTCTTGGTCTTGCAACAAAAGGTCAAGGACAGCTTCAGGATGTAACCATCAGTGTCATGTTGGCAAAATTACCGCAAAGAAAGAAAGCAAGCTGGGATGTTAGTACCACAAATGTGTTCCACAGTAAACGGGTTAGAAAACTTGCTTATTATAGTGCATCATATGTGCATGAACTTTAGCAACTCTTAGCAACAAACTTAACAAAGGCGCCATGTTAGCACAGGTAATGCTTTGAAGGAAATTGCCAGGGAAACTATGCAAAGGTCAACATTTGTTAGAAGGAGGCTGGTCAGAGTGTGGCATGATTCATGACCATCATTTGTATTTTAAGAAACTAATGGAGTTATAAATCATCACCCAGGACATCCTTTGACAAAAATTACTGAACTACCCTCATGGTGTAGAAGCATAGCTGAAAGCAAGGTCAAGACAGACAAGAGAAGCTTCAAGATTCACCGACTACAAGGCATGCTTTTGGGATAACCACCAGACAGTAACACTCTCTAATCCAGATTACCATTTACTGATCTAAATAGATTATTTGTATCTCAAAGAATGATGTGGTTTTAACGTAACCACAATGAAAGAAAATCCCACTGCTAATCCTCTTTAATATGAAGTGCAAATACATTTAAAAATGTGATTAATAACAGAATAAAACCCTAATCAGTCAAAACATCCCACAGCTATTCTATCTTTGGGAACCTTTTAGATTAATTAACTTTGCTAATGAGAATTTTAAATACCTAAATATAAAGGCAACATGTATGTTACATTCCAATTTCAAATTAACATGCACACAAAAAATGACTTCAAGCAGAAAGGGTTTTGCTCTATTGCAATAATGACTTTTTTCTATTTGTTTTATCTTTTGCTACATGTTCACTAGAGTGCTATTTAAAAAAAAAACTATTTTGTCTCACATCTGTATTTCAGTAAAGATGTTTAAAATTCACCAATCGAGATAACTGACCAATACCAATGCCCACTTGTCCTTAAGATCTTATTTGCTAGTTCTAATTTTAACCAATTAGATTTTTTTATTATTATTATTTTATATGGTCTGCAATGCAAGTATGCTCCAGTCTCTTTGAAATAGGTAGTGGTTTCAAAAAACAGAATAATAAGAAATCACAACATCCCATCCATTAGGAAACCAAAGCCTGTGTCCCTAAACTAAATCTGACTTTCACTAAACTCCAAAGAACCAATCAAAATTCATGTTTATTAATGCATTTAAAGACTCAAAATATTATTTTTGATGGATTTAATCAATAGGTTAAAAAATGTTTCATTGTGTGCCATGATGATCGTCAATCATACTTGAAAAAGGAAGAATTGGTTTGTTGATTTTTCTTGCATCTTTAATAAAAATCCATTCGAAGGCCTTAAAAAGACCCCAAGGTACATTCACTGCTAATCCATTATTGCTGAAATTTGCCAACTGGCAATAAAGTAGTATTTGACTTTTTGCAATCAAACTGAATTTGATTGTCAATTTGAAAATGGCACACATGCAATTGATATACATTTAGATATTTATGATGCAAATTAGCTACATTACTCATGATTTGGTAACATGATCCTTGGTATTTGATGTCCGAGCATCAATGGGTATTAACTGAACATATAAGCTACCTTTGATTAATCTTAGGCAAATTTGTAACAATGGTCTGTAAGAGACTATTACAACAGTGCAACCCTGAGACAGTACTGACCTGCTGGCGGTATAAAAACACATTCAATTTAAAAAAAAAAAAAAAAAAGTAAAGACAGTTTATCCATTATTCATTAATATAAATTTCTCACTATTTCATGCTAGCATACAATAAAAATAGTATTTCACCATTTAAAGTATTTTTCAGTTTAAATGCTTCAAACTAACATATTCGGCTCGAGTCAGTTTGCACTGACAGAACCCAAACAATAACCAGGAGGCCAGCGTTAGCATGCTAGCTCCCAAACAAGCAAACACTCACCAGTTCCAACTTGTCAAACCGTGTGATCAGTTGGAGGTTTTGATCCACGATCAAAACACATCTAAAAGTTGAGAAGCATATCAGTGAGAGACAGCAACATGAGCATATGATCGAGGCTTACAAATGTATTGAATCCTACCTGTGGCAGCGACAGACGGCGTCTCCCACCTAGCCCGGTGAGCAGCACCCGTAAGAGCAGCACCTGTCCATTAAGACGCTGACGTACGGCTGGTCACGTGACACTAAAACCTCGCGAGAACAGACACGCTTAATGGTGTTTGTTCTTGTTTGGTTTATTTTTGTTTTTAAAAGAAATTAAGAAAAGGAGGATTCAAAAAAAAAAGTCTTTAAATTTGTAAAATAAATACAAGTGAATCCAGCAAAAATTACCCTGGTTACAAGATGCACCTTGGTGTAGCATCTGGCATCCTGTTTGATTTAAGAGCTAGTTTAATTCTTCATAGTATAGGTTCAAGTAGGTGTCAGAAACGTCCCTCAGCTATTTTTTGGTCCATTTTACAATATGGCGTCATACAGTTTCTCTGGATTTGTTGGCTGCGCCTTGATGATGCAAAGCTCTTTCTCCATTACATTTCAAAGTGGAGGCCACTGAGGAACACAATATAAAACTCAGCTAAGCTATACTAAAGGGACAAAAATTTATCAACAAAAATATCCCCCACATCATTACATCACCACCACCAGCCTTAACCTGTTGATACGAGGTGAGATGGATCCATGTTTTTATATCGTCTTTTGTTGCTGTTGCTCATCTGCTTCCAGGTACATTCAGAGAACATCCTCCACATACCTCAGTTGGAACGAAGTATTTTTTTTAAAACCGCTCTTGTCTTATTTCTCAAATCGGTGCAGATAAAATGTTCATTGCTTTGAAATATTTATTTCAGTCCGTTATCTCGTTTTTGAACCATTCACAGCAAACCTGACAGGTTGCTATGAATGAAAAACTCAGTAGATCAGCATTTTCTTGTTATCCTTGGCCCCATCGGCTTTTTACAACCATGTCACATGCGGTGTCATTTAAAACTCCTTTCTTTTCCCAACTGTGAGACATGGTTGACCTTCAGCGTGCCATCTTCACCAAGCCTGAATGCCTAAATGTTTTGAGTTGATACTATGCAGCTGGCCAACATGTTATTGGAGTTGACAAGCAACTGAGAAAGTTTCACTAAAAAGTGAAAGAATTTTTAACTGTATATTTATTTTCTAGTTAAAGATTAAATTAAAACATGGATCAAAAAGCATTAACACTAGTTGCCATTAGCATGCATTTTATTCATATGTAAGGGAGTCCTAAACTGTTTCAGGATACGGTCCTACTGCCATCTGCAAAAACGCACTATTCCCAGTCAGAAACAGCCAATCGCAACCCTGAGGAGGGTCTTAGCACTGTCAATCACACCTGTGTATGCGCTGAAGCTGTGCTAATGGTAGAGAAACAACTTACCATTAGAGGAAAACTATTTATCTGTCGTTGATGGCCATGCTAACTGGACCGCTCATTCGGAGCTGTAACGGCGCAGAAAGCAGGGGGTGGAGGGTGTAAGCAGTGTATACACAAGCTTGACTGGCAGCTCTAAAACTTTCTTCCTGGCTGTGATTGGTTGTTTCTGACCAGGCGGTGTATTTCTGCAGCTGGTAGCAGAACCACAGGAAGGAGGCAGAGGAGCTTGATTCTTTCCTAGAGATTATGTCTCATACTGACAGGAAATAGCGATGGTTTGAAAAAAATATATATGTAAAGTACTTTTTCTTTTTTTTTTTTTATAAAAGTACCTGCAGCTCTGTCAGTCATACATGCTAACCATAAGGTAATGCAAATTAAGTAGTTTGATAATGTTTTGTTGTTGCATAAATAGAACACACTGCATTACAAAAGCTATCTAATAGAAACCTCTAGAGCTCCATGGCGTTTCCCTTTTTGTGAAAGAAAAATAACATATCTTGACACAGAGGCTTTTCTACAGCAGATTAAATGTTAACTGTGTTTATGCAAAACCTAGTCTCACTGTAATCTACTCAGTACTGCATGAGGTTTGATTGTGGTTTAAAATGTTAAAATAGCTCAATGATACCAAACCCCCCCACCCCCCACTTTTGCTCAGGACCTGCAGTGTTGCTAACATCACTTGATGAGATAAGATAAATCAAGTTACTGTGAATTCTCGTTTTAATTTAGTAAACAACAGATTTTTGCAAATGTTTTTTTTTTGTTTGTTTTTTAATCCAACACTCGCACATCTACTCCAAAGGGCATGCCAACTAATTAATAATAAGCACAAAGACACATATGGTTTGAAGCTAATGTGCACCTGCAGCTTCTCCACGCACGGCACACTCTTGCACATGAAAATGTTCATATTTGTCTCGGTCTTCTCATCTCTTCCTGTTGTCCCTTCCTCACTTTCTAAAATGGGAATATCTGTGATGAGCTGTGCAGCTGGAGACAATAAACTGGTAGAAGAACCAATTACCAGCAGGTGACAAGCTGGTGGTTTAGAGCTTTCAGCATGTCATTATCTGCACATCGACATTTCCAAGAGCTCTGACAGGGCCATTTCTGAGGCTGCCATTGCGATCCACCCTGATAAACCCGAGTAAAGTAAGAAACAAAAAAGAAAAAGCTAGTAATACTCATAAGTCTCCTTAAGGTTTATGCTTCCTCACTTGCTCTCCCTGCTCGGGAACATGGGCACGTTGTGAGCAAATTTCTGTCTCCCTAGTTATTCTTGAACTTATGTGCACATGCAGATAAACACATAAATAACTCGCCTTCTCGTTCAGCTCCCCTGAGTTGATGAGATTCTCAGTGTTCTCTTTCTACGTGAAATGGTAATTGTATTTCTCTAATCTAATCCCATTAGAACCCCCCGTGCCTCCCCTGCAAACTGCCCCGAGGCAATTACACAAAATGTCAATGAATTAAGTAATAGCTTGGTGCCAAGCCAGGGGTGCTCACCGTTGATCACTGCTGTCAGTGGAAAAACACCCCTGTCAACAGCAAATCACACACACGCATGCACACACACACACACACACACACACACACACACACACACACAAGCATGCCAACTGTATAGTCATTGATGTTCTGAGAACCGTTTAACCTCTCTGTAGGACACACAGTGGCGCATTGCTGCCACTGAAGTACCTGTTTAACTCGCATCCAGAAAGCACACGCACTCTCATAAAGAAGAAGAAGAAGAAGAAGAACAAGAAGAACAAGAAGAACAAGAAGAACAAGAAGCAGCAGGTAAAAGTCAAGTGTGCTACCATTTGTGGTGAAATTATCCCAGAGTTACTGATGGCACTTGGGCAAAAATATTCCATGGATCTGTGCACAAGCATGTCGATTAGTACTTTCCTTCTTACAGATTTATTTTGTTTTCCCCCTTTTTTTCTGGCACGCAAATGCTTCAGATCCACCGGGTTTTAATAACTGGACCAAGGTGACCAGAGCAAATACAAAAAGCAGTTTTCAAATTACGATTTATTTATTTAAGGTAGAAGGGAAAAAAAAAAAAAATCAATCCAAACCAACAGGTTATTTCTTCACTCTGCATGTCAGGCAGCGATCAATCCTGGGGTTGGGTGAAACTGAACTGGAAAAAAAACTAAAAAAAAAAATCAATTTTAGATTTAATAGTGAAGGGGACGGGGGACCTGGTGATGAGTGTGACACAATATGTGTAGACTTTACATAACAGAAGGAAAGATTAATGAAGAAAAGTACCAGAATCAGAAGACAAAATGACTTTTTTTTTTTTTTGAAGATAATAATCCTAACCACACAGACAAGGAAACTGTCATGTTTGTGATTATCCTTCTGATTCTCATGCAGCCTCGACTGGGGGACACAGAAGATAAAGGCAAGCAGGTATGTTTACAACTTTAGGCAATTACAGGGGTCGGGAAGGAGAGAAAGTTAGTCGGAAGTCTTGAAGAGGACAATAACAAGTCTGAGGAGTAGTAATATGATGGCAGGCTTAGAGGCGGTGAGGGTGAATGGAGGAGGTGAATCTGATCCTGGCGAGTCTTCGATTAGAGTCCAGGATGTCAATAGAGAGCGAGGAGGCAAGTGGAGATCCAAGGGCGCTGGACACGCAGAGGACATATGTGGTATGATTCTGGAAACGTCTTTGACACTGAAGGTTTGTGAGGATTTGAGACGAGGAGATGGATTTCAATTCGGTTAGTCATCCGGCGGTTGTGCCGCAGCTCCCTAAATCCTCTGGAACCCGAGGAGGTAGAAGGTGCCCGGTGTGCCTCCTGCTCAGGGATGGCATGGATAGCTAGAGATCCTCAGAGAAGGGAAGACTCACACTCTCACAGAAGAAAAAAACAACAAAAAAAAACAAACACACTACAATTATGACAGAATCTGTTATTTGTTTTCAGTGAAGGAAATTCAAATTGCTAGAATAGACCAGTCAAATAAATATATTGATGTCCAATTGAAAAAAACTGAACATCAGAATTCAATTGACGTCGTTTCTGTGCAATTACTAACTTCATTTGATTTCTTTGTAAGTAATCATCATTTGCGTTATTAATGACACGTTGTGTGAACCTAATGTTAAATAAACAGAAATATATTAACAGAGAAAATGTTGCTGTGTTTATTGCTCCTCCTACCCGCTGTAAATCGGTTGCATCATCGTTACGTTTATGTGTAAACCTTCTGGCTGCTGTTAAATTAAGCTCAGATTTATGTTTAACTGTATGATGTAACTTCGACAAACGTACAGAGACCCCCACCCTTCGCCGTGTTCCCTCACGGTGTGTAAATATTCTAGTGCAGAAAGAAGCTGTGATGAGAAACTCGGTTTCATCTGAGCTGTTGTCAGTTTGTGGGTATGAAATCGAGTCAGTTGCTCTGCATTTGTTAAACTTAAAAGAAAGGTTTTTGAGAAAGCATTCGTAGCCAGCAGCATCTTAAGTCGAGCACAGACGCTTTCGCTATTCGAGAAAGTCCAATTAAGTTGAGAAAAACAAAACAAAACAACGTTAAAAAAAAAAATTAACAATCAACATAGCTTCAAATGATAAACTTTAAAAATGACTTTCATGTCTTTAGGTAAGAAAGAAAAGACTTGTTTATCTGTGAAGTGTTTCCACAGATGTGAATTTACTTTCAGCACTGCTTGTAATTCTGTGCATACTTTTTTTTTTAATTTTCAATAAAAAAGCAGTTTATATCTACTTTTTTTAATATAA